GCACCTTGAGGAAGGTCGCTGAAGGTCAGAGACGGACACAGGGAAACAAGCAAGTCTTAAACCCAGGACTCTTCCTTCAGCCTCTTTTTCTTGTATCAAGTGGCCTCTTTTCCTTTTCCTTGTGGCGTGGGCTCTGGTTAGTTCTCGTCCTATATAAACACTCCTTGATGAATTCATAAGAAATCTCCACCAGCCTCATGATCTCGCACCAAGTGCTGCAGCCTCCTCACCAGCCCGGCCTCATCTACTCTAAACTCTAAAATGGCCTTCACACCACACCTGCGATGAACACTCTGGAACAAATTAGAGCATTGATCCCATGCTCCCTGGCGCCCGCAGGGGTAAGTGTGGGTTCCTCGGCGGGCAGACGGAGCCAGGATACCCAGCCCCTGCCTCCTTCTCCAGCCTTCCCTGATGCCGAGCCACCCTTCAACCCCACTGGCCACTTAAGCTCCTCTAGTCGGCTCATGCTCTCCAGCTTCTGCTACTTGAGGATCCTGGGCCCTCTGCCTGAAAGGTCCAGCCTGAGCCGCCCCACCGGCCCTCACTGCTCACCCCATCTGGTTCCATGGCTGGGTTCCATGGCCTCTCCTGGCTTCCTGCCGTCAGAGCAGTCCCACTGTGTTGAGTTTATACACGTACACAGCTGTTGTTCCCACTAGATCCTGAGCTCCTTGAAGGCAGGGGGACTGGGACTTGTGTCTAGAAGACAGGATGCACCCTCATGGGAAGGAGGCAGATACGTAGAGACAGACATAAGAATGGGCCTCTTGGTTTCTTTATCATTCATCTATTGAAGGGCATCTAGGTTAGTTCCTCAGTTTGGCTGTTGTGAATTGAGCTGCTATAAACCTTGATGTGGCTGCGTTACTATAGTATACTCTTTTTAAGTCCTTTGGGTATAGACCGAGGAGTGGGATAGCTGAGTCAAATGGTGGTTTCATTACATGTTTTCAGAGGAATCTCCACACTGCTTTCCAGCTTGGTTGCACCAATTTGCAGTCCCAGCAGCAATGTATGAGTGTGCCTTTTCCCCATGTCCTTGTGAACACTTATTGTTGTTTGTATTCTTGATAATTGCCATTCTGACTGGAGTGAGATGAAACCTTAGAGTAGTTTTGATTTGCATTTCTCTGTGGTATATAAACACAATGAAATATCACTCAGCAATAAAAAAGAATAACATTATGGCATTTGCAGATAAACAGGTGGAGAATATCATGCTAAGTGAAGTAAGCCAATCCACAAAAACCAAAGGCTGAACGTTTTCTCTGATAAGTGGATGCTAATCCATAGTGGGGTGGAGAGCATGGGATGAGTGGAGGAACTTTGAATGGGGCAGGGCAGGGGGGTAGGAAAGATGGTGGAATGAGACGGACATCATTACCCTTGGTACATGTGTGATTGCATGAATGGTGTGACCCTACTTTGGGTAAAACCAGAGAAGTCAAAAGTTGGGCTCCATTTGTGTATAATGAATCGTAGAACATTCTGCTGTCATGTATAACTGATTAGAACAAATAATTTTTTTTTTAAAAAAAGAATGGCCTCTCCGAGGAGGCCTGATGGAAAAGTAAAACATGGAATCTGGAAGGAGATGGCCTACAGCGAGCGGGCCTAGAGGTGGCTGTCACAGTGGTGTGGAGACTCTTATTGCAGAGTGCTTTCCTCGAGTGAAATCTGACAAATTCTCCCAAAACATACAAGGAAAACTCTAGGTATGGGCCCATATCTCCAGGCCTTTCCATCCTCAATGAAGGAGTTGGCTTCAATCTTCCTCCTCCTTTTTCCTGCCAGGACCTTGCACGAGCTAGGCAAACAGTCCACTGCTGAGCTGCATCCTCAGCCCTTTTTAATTTTATTTTGAGACAGGGTCTTCTAAGTTTCCCAGGCTGGCCTTGAACTTGTGATCCTCCTGCCTTCATCTCCTGAGTAGCTGGAATTACAGGTGTGAAACGCCATGTCTGGTTCATTCCCTCCTTCTAGAAGCCTCGTATCACAGTGCAATGACCATGTGCTGGGCTTTGGCATTGGGTTGACTGTGTTCAGGAAAACCAGCTGCTGTAACAGATAAGCCTGAGCTTCAGTGGCTTAACACAAGAAAAGTTATTTTCTCATTTGCGTCACTATCTGAAACAGTGAGTTGGGGCACCCCTTCCGGGAAGCCTTTTGGGGCCTCAGGCCTGTCAATGGAGTGGTTCTCCTCTAGGGCTTTGGAGCCCTCTGCTGGCTCCTTCCAGAATGGCCAGCTGACAAGGAAGGAATGAGCCTGGACAGCATCCCACTCCTAGTGCCTGGGTAGGGTGACACACATCACCTCTGCCCACTCTGGGTGAGTTGTCCTGTGGCAAACCTAGATGCAAGGCAATGGGCAGTGTGGCTGACCGTGTGACCAGAGAGGGGAGAGCGCAGGCGCGGAGAGGCCTAGCAGGCTTTACCATTCCAATGGATTCCCCGTGGCTGAGGCTGCTTCTCAGCTCAGGTCTCCGCTCCTTATAGAGCCTCTCAGTATGGCTGCAGGGTGAAGGGCAGTGAGGCGTGCAGGTGCCTGCCACGTGCCTAGCAGCCCACCAGCCCCATGCCTCCCCTTCCATCCCATCCCTACCCTTCTCCTCCTGTCCAGTCTTTGTATTTTGCAGGCTAAGAGTTAGGATAAAGCAGTGGCTAAGACTGGGTCTGGAGTCCACCTGCCTGGACTTGAGCCCTGACCTGCTACACCACACACCAACAGTGTGAGCCTGGGAAAGACTTTACATCTCTCTCTCCCATTCCTCCCCCTGCCCAGAAGAGAGCTACAAAGATGGCGCCCTCTCACAGGGTCTTGGAGGGGGAAATGGGTTGGTTGATGGGTGAATAGCACTCAGCATGTTGAAATATGATGAATGGGGCACCTGGTTTTTATTATTATTATTATTATTATTATTATTATTATTATTATTATTATTATTACCTATCTATTCATTGTGCTACAGCCCAGCCTGCTTTTATTTATTTTTATGATTTTATTTTATATGAGCATTACTGACACAGTGGAAACTCAGTTTAAAACACAAACACGAACGTAAGCATCTGCTCCATACCACTACCAGTCGTGTGTTCACAGATATTTGTGTCATGAATCTTAATAATGGTTTGAGCAATTAATTAGCAGAACAGTCCCTATCACCTGGGTCCCTCACACCCACCACCTGTCATCAGGGCATTGCAAGCTTTTCAGCTGGAAGACAAACATTTAATCACCAAAGGCAGCACTTGAAAACAGCTTTCAGGGAACTTTCAAGAAACGTGTGCAGGGGGCACAGGCTGTGCTGCAAGTCTTCCAGCTTTCTGTGGAAGCTTCTGCTCTGTGCTTTCCCAAAACCAAAGCACAAAACTCTGAAGACCCCTGAGGCAACACCTGGCAGGGAGTGATCTGAAAGTCCTCCTTTTCCCAGAAGACGTCCAGTGCAGCACTGCACAGAAGAAAAGAGGTGATTTCCCGCAAAACGACATCTTTTAATTTCCTCACTTTAATTCCAGGAGACTGGCCAGTGCTGTAAGCATGGCAGTCAGAGGCTCTGTGGAGCCTGTCTTGGCCAGACTCCTTGCAGGAGAGCTGTGATCAATGGGCGCAGCACTGCAGTAGGGACCAAGGTCACCCCCAGGAATGACCTTTGATACATGTGAAGGACAGTCAGGTGGCAGGCGGGTTGCCTGTGAATTCTATATGCCAAGGATGGGATAACTGGGTCATGATGGTTCCATTCCAAGTTTTCTGAGAAATCTCCATACTGCTTTCCAGATTGGTTGCATCAATTTGCAGTCCCAACAGCAATCTACGAGTGTGCCTTTCCCCCACATCCTCTCCAACACTTAATGTTGCTTGTATTCTTAATAACTGCCATTCTGACTGGAGTGAGATGAAATCTTAGAGTAATTTTGATTTGCATTTCTCTAATTGCTAGAGATATGAATATTTTTTTCATACATTCCTTGATTGATTGTATTTCTTCCTCTGTGAAGTGTCTGATCAATTCCTTTGCCCAATTATTTATTGGGTTATTTGGTTTTGGAGGATTTAGTTTTTTGAGTTCTTTATATATCCAGGAGATTAATGCTATATGTGAGGTGCGTGTGGTAAAGATTCTCTCCCATTCTGTAGGCTCTCTCTTCACATTCTTGATAGTTTACTGTGAATAAGCTTTGTAGTTTGATTCCATCCCATTTATTGATTCTTGATTTTATTTCTTGTGCTTTAGGAGTCTTGTTAAGGAAGTCAGTTCCTAGGCCACCGTGGTGAAGATTTGGGCCTACTTTTTCTTCTATTAGGAGCAGGGTCTCTATTCTAGTGCCTAAGTCTGATCCACTTTGAGTTGAGTTTTGTGCAGGATAAGAGATGGGGTTTAATTTCATTTTGTTACACATGGATTTCCAGTTTTCCCAGAACCATTTGTTGAAGAGGCTATCTTTTCTCCAATGTATGTTTTTGTCTAATATGAGATAACTGTGTTTCTGTGGGTTTGTCCTGTGTCCTCTGTTCTGTACCATTGGTCTATGTGTCTGTTGGTGCCAATACCATGCCATTTTTGTTACTGTAGCTCTGCAGGTCTGGTATTGTGATGCCTAGTGCTTCACTTTTCTTGCAAAGTTTTGCTTTGGCTATTCTGGGTCTCTTATTTTTCCAAATGAATATCATGATTGCTTTTTCTAACTCTATGAAGAATGTCATTGGGATTTTAATAGGAATTGCATTAAATTAGATTTGATTTTGACTCTCAGGTTTAATATTTACTGAGCAAGTCACTTAGTCTCTCTGAGCCTCAGTTTCTCTGTCTACAAAATGTGGTAGACTTAGGATCCGTTCCCTATCTTTGTTAGAAGAGTCCAGTGCTCACACAGCATTTAGCAAAGTGCTCAACGTGAAGGAATTGCTCTTCAAAATCTCTTTTGTGTGTGTGCCGGCTGGCTTCAAGCACAGGATGGAACAGAAGGAAATAACATGGCTTATTGTTCATTTCCAGTATATCAAGGCCTTTTACAATGAATCATGGGAAAGAAGGCATGGACATCCAATAGACCCGGATACTCTGACTCTGCTCTGGTCTGTGACCGTGTCCATATTCGCCATCGGTGGATTGGTGGGGACACTAATAGCGAAGAAGATCGGAAAGTTTCTTGGGAGGTCAGTAAAGGACTGTCTGTGTTGGGGGGATGCTTCACAATGATCTTAATACATCCGCACCACGGTCAGATCTCAGCAGACACAGAATTCCACTCCGACAGTTCAACTGGAGAGATGTGAAGGGGTAAGAGGAGGAAATAGGGCACAAGGGCCCAGGGGAAACTGGAGCCGGGGATGACTGGGCGGACAGCAGGGCTAAGTTGTGGAGGTGCTGGGCTGTGGCAGAGCCATAGAGCCCGAGTGAGGGGGAGCAGAAAGAAACGCCTTGACCTTGCTCCCCGCCTTCCTTGAGCCATCAGAGGGCCAGCTCCCAGGATGCAGAGTCAGGAGGAAGGGAGGGTGGATCTGGATGTGGGGGCAGATGGAGAGCAGCCCACAGGGAGCCTTAGTGGTTGTTCTACAAAAGCACATAGAGATCTGTTTTAAAGTGAATCTTCCATTGTCTTCTGTTATGTTTATTTAATCACTCTCTAGTTGATAAGCATTTCGGGCTATTTTGAATCATTTGCATTATAAATAAGGCTGCAGTGAGTATCAAAAGCTCCCTGTGGACATTTCCCACCCAGACCCTCTCCAGTTAGATCCGCTTTACCTTGTGAGCTCACTCCTCACTTCCATTTGACATGAGGCATCTCTCAGAGAAGGTTAGTTCAGTAAACACCCCAAATCCATGCTTTCTCTGTATCATTGCCACTAGCAACAGCCTTCTGGGAACTACTGAGGTGTGCCTGGAAGCAGAGAGTCTCTTGAATGTTCATGTCTGACCTTGAATCTTGTGTCTTCTACTTACTCGCTGGGGGTCTTGGTCAACTCATTTATTTGAACTTCATTTTTTTCATCTGTAAAAAGGGAATGATAGTCGCCACCTTGGGAATGTCATGAGTGCTAGGGAAAATGAACACAGAGAGAAAGTCATTAGTAGCAGCTTAATAAACAGAAGCGCTGTTATTTACCATCTCCTTCACTGTCACTGTGACATCCTTCATAGTAGGTGCTCAACAAAGCTCCATACTGCATTGACTTGAATTGCAGAGGAGGTTCATCATACCCCCAGGACATCCCCCAGACCCAGGGATGCAGAGATGGTGCTGAAAGGGTCCTACCTCTTCATACATTCTGCCTCACATACATCCCACCAAGGAGCAAGTTAGAGCAATGAGGAGGCTTCGGGGATGACTTGGTGGTCATGAAGGTCTGTGGGACCCAGTAAGTGCTGACATTTTCCTCATCCCCAAGGTCACTTCCAGAGCAGTAACTAACGGGGGCTCAGTACCAGGAAGGACAACTGTTACCTAACAGAGTGCCATTTTCTGAGGTCCTTCAGTGCTCCAGGTACACATGTACCCTCAGAGAAGTGAGGGCATCTGCCCAAGGCTAGCTGGCTCTCACATGGCTGAGGTCACACTGGGACTAAGCACAGTGTCCTTAGCATCCTGATCTTTCCCCTAGGGGAAGGAGTTCTAAATTAAAATCCCGTTGGCAGTGGTATTTCTTCCTTTCTTTCTTTCTGTACCTAGGATTGAACCCAGGGGTGCTCAATCACTGAGTTACAACCCCAGCCCTTTATTTAAAAATATATTATTTCGATACAGGGGGTCTCTAAGTTGCTGAGGCTGGCTTTGAACTTGAAATCCTCCTTTCTCAGCCTCCTGAGCCTCTGGGATTACAGGCGTGCGCCACCACACCCAAACTTGGCAATGGTATTGTAAAGTCCATGTGGTGGGGCAATTGATCAGTGCCTGACCAGCATCCAGACTCGCGCCCATGGTCAGAGGCTCTCGGGTGCTGTCACTAAGCCTGAGGTTCTTTCATGAAGCCCTCGGCCCAAAGCTAGACCCTGTTCACAGCCCTCCTGTCTATCTTAGTTAGATGGAGTCACCTGCCGCCCCAGGCTCCGTGGACTGTGATGCTGTGTTAGATTTTTGCCACTGTGACCAAACTTAGAGGAAAAGTTCACCTTGGATCATGGTTTCAGAGGTTCAGTCCATGGTAGGCTGGTTCCATCACTCTGGGCCCGAGGTGAGGTAGAGCATCGTGGCGGAAGGGTGTGGGTGAAGGAGCAGCACTCTGTTCACGGTGGCTGGAAAGCACTTTTCTGGCCAAACCACAAAGTTTTAATATCCTTTAGCTCTTCTTTATGCTCTTGATTCTCATAACAAACCTGGATAAAAGTTGCCAGTAATATCCATGCCAGTGACTGAATGCTGTGCTGCCTTGACATTTCTTCCACCAGATTACCTCCTCCGTCAGTTCTAAATCCAGCCTTTCACAAAGCTTCAGGACATGGATGAAATGCAGCCAAGTGCTTTGCCACAATATAACACCAGTGGCCTCTAGTCTGACTCCCAATGAAGTCTTCCCTCTGAAACTTCAGGGGCACAGTCTGCACTTCTGTCTGCATTCTGATCTGAGTTCCCACCAGATTTTCCCATTCAGTTCTGATTACAGCATTGTAAAGTTTATAACCTGCATCTCCAAACTCTTCAAAATTCCTCCGGCAAACCATTTCCAAAGTCTTCTGAGCTACAGAGTCAGGTCAGACCCAGCAACAACCCCACTTCTCAGTACCAATTCCTATTTTAGTTAGGTTTTTTTGTGACTGTGACCAAAATACCTGACAGGAGCACCTTCAAGGAGGAGAGGTCTTTCTGGGGCTCACAGTTTCAGAGGTCTCCGTCCACAGATGGCCAACCCCATTGCTTTAGGCCCAAGATAAGGCAGCACATCAGGGGGATGGGCCCAGCAGAAGAAAACTTCCCAACTCATGGTGGGGTCAGGAAACAGAGGGGATGGGGGAGGGGGGAGAGAGAGACAAGAGGGGAGGAGAGGAGAGGGGAGGAGAGGGGAGGGAGGGGAGAGAAAGGAAAAGGGACACAGGGAAGAGGTACACTTCCAGCACATGTCCCCAGTGACCCACCTCTTCTAGCCACACCCCCCCTTCCTACAGTTACCACTCAGTCAATCCATTCCAACTAAGATGGACCCATTAGGTTCTAGCTCTCATAATCTAATAGTTTACCTTTGAAAATTCCTGCATTAAGAGGATCTTTGTGGGACACCTCAATCCAAACCATAATACACCGTTTTGGCATTTGGCCTTTGTACTCAGGAAAGACACAGTTGTGGCTGAGGGCTGATGCTTGAGCAGAGTTGTCCAAGACCCTGAGTGATTGGTGATGCAAGTCACCACCATCCTGTGCAGCGCTACAGTGAGTAATAGAGATACAGGAAAAGGCAGCTGGCTGGCTCTTAATTTTTAAATCTGTAAAGTACAGATAAGCAAATCCAGTGTTGGGAGGATTTCCTGAGGGAACAGCCATGGTGGGCGTATGAGAGCAAATTTACAGGGTATCTCATGTCATTCGAGAGCTTTTTGAATGCCTGTGGCAGGAATGCAAATCAAGTTGGTTTAAGCCTGAAAGGGAATTAATTGGCTCAGATAACTGAAACATAATTTGGTTGAATCCAGTTATGGTTTTATGTGATATCATAAAATAATCAAATCTATCTCTTTCCCCCATGTTCCAGCTGTCGTCCTCCAGGTTGGCTTTATCCCCAGGTCCTTACTCCCATAGAGGGTCACAGAGGCCCAGCATGGAGAAACTGCCCCTTCCAATAGTTACAGTGAAGGTCCCAGGGAGAATGTCCTGAGTTAAGGTGCATGTCTTCAGGGTTCTCAATCAGGGGACAATGCACACCATGCGGGGACTTTGACAATGTCTGGAGACTTTTTTGTTTGTCACAACTGGGTGCTGCTGGCCTCTAGGAGAGGCCAGGGAGGCTGTGAAACACCCTTCAGTGCACAGGAAGCCTCACAACACAGAATCCCCCAGCCTCGGGTGTTAATATGCTGAGGTTCAGAAATCCCCCCAAATAACCTTCTCATACACCAGATGAGAGCGTTTTGAAGATGTCGGACGAGCCCTGTACCATGCACCCAGCTCTAGAGCCACAGTGAATGGAGATCCGAGCTCCACCAGCCCCCACACTGAGAGTGTGGGCAGGACCTGGGGTGGGAATCCATGGGACTCCTCCGAGAAGGAAGGAGCTTGATCAAGCACCAACAAAAGGCATCCCATTCAGTATTTCAGTAAAACAGCAGGTTCTCAAAAATACTGTTTTCTCCTCATCTTATTCTACCCCAATCTTTTCAAATGTGTTTTTAGTTTATTGTAGTATAAAATAACTTGAGCTCCTCGTTTAGCTGGGGGTGTCTGCCAAGCCTGTGCTCCAGCTGCCTTAACAGAACGTCACAGACCTGGGGGATTAAACAGCTGACTTTGTCATCTCATAGTTCTGGAGGCTGGAAGTCCAAGGGGAAGGTCGCAGTAGGAGTCATTTCTCTTAAGGCCTCTCTCCTTGGTTTGCCGATGGCCGCTTCCTTGCTGTATCCTCATAGGGTCTTTCCTCTATTGTACATCCCTGGAGTCTCCTTAGCTTCTTAAAAAGACACTCGTCACGTAGGATTGGACATCTTTATTAAGACCTCATTTAACCCTCATTAACTCCTTAAAGACCCCATCTCCAAATGCAGTCACAATGGGACTGGGCCTTTGACATGTGAACATCAGGGGACACCGTTCAGCCCAGAAGGAGCACATACACTGTGCTCCTGAAGGTTTCTTCTTTTCAGCTGGACTTGTCTCAGTAATCAATTCCCCAGGAGCAGAGCCTGAGGCAGGGGTTGGGATACACGTTTCACCCAGGGAGGATCCTTTAGAAGGACCCAGTAAAGGTGAGGGAAGCAGAAGAGGCAGGGCAAGGAGCCAGCAAGGCTCTGCTCTCAGGTCAAGTTCAGCCTCACCTGACCCAGGGGTGGTTCTGGAGCCAAAGTCACACCAGAGTTATCTCATTCAAGACATCCCACCACTGTCTGTCGTCAGCTGCAGGCTGCCTGGTAGGGAGGATCCATCTCCAGGCCAATGTCAGTCTCCTGAGAAGGGCCAACCAGGAGCCTTTGGCAGCCAACGCAGAGCTGGGGGCAGTGGGGGGTGGAGAGT